TCATAAATCAATAGATCACACACACACACACTGTATTTGTATTAGCATAACATATCAATAATTATGTGTGGTTTTTGAGCAATTTTTCAAAATTTAATTATTTCAAACAAATGCAAGTTAGTAAATCTGAACAATAAAACACTTCATAAATGCTCACTAAATTATTTTTTATCTTACATGTATTTATTTACTCACTTACCCCAGTTTCATCTTCATTTTGTCTCTCACTACAAAAGGAAACCTTGAATAGCACCACCTTCACTATCAAGGCACACAACATTACTACAAACAAACAAAACATGTAAACAACAACAAAAATAAACAAAATAAAAATATCAACAAATATACTCACTCTCCAGTCCTTACAACAGATGTGCTCAGGAGTCTATCGAAGTCGGTTAGTTCGTTTGTTTTGTATATTTCATCAAAACTGTCTCTGTCAGTAGTGTCATTATTAATATGAGGTACTGCTGGAGGAGTGGGTTCTTCATCTTCAATATTAGCAATAAATAGAAAAATATTTAATGATAAACATATTAATTTTGGAATAAAATATCATATCAATGCAGCGTACATGTACATGTACATGTATGATATTCTTTATCATTTAAAAATATTACATGTACATGTACAAGGTACATGTACATGCCTCATGTAAGAATGACCTTTTTCAATTTTAACAAAATTTGGCCAAATACTCTGTACTTACACATACAGTACAGGGAATTTTGCCTGATTTTGGAGCAAATTTAAAATTTGTAAAAAAATCAAAAGTTGATCAGAATCAGCTCAAAATTTCTACGCAACATGAATATGTATCAAAAATGTAATAAAAATAGACAATTCTCTCCTTGGTATTTTTGGCAAAATTGAGAAATTTTTGTCTAATTTTTGAGCAAACTTTAAAAAGTTGTAAAAATCCAAACTTGATTGGAATCTGCTCAAACTTTTTACATAGCATAAGTACAATGTACATGTACATGTACATGTACTAGTTTCCATACATTGGCTTCTCCTTCTTTTGGTACAAACACTCCAAAGAACACGTTAATAGCCATCTGCTTGTCTGTGTCTAGTGGGTGTGGTCATGAATTGAAGCTCCACCCACCACCAGTCTTACCAGTGAATGCGTTCCTATAGTACCTCAGAGTGCTCGTGTATATGTCTCATCCATGATTCTTCATTGGAGCCACTTTACGATAAGT